AAGGAATATTGTAATTAGATAATGGTAAGGATAGGTAGATACCATAATAATTTATTCTAGTAAGTAATTATTATAATATTAACTATATGGGTTTATAATAATTACTTACTATTATTATTACTACCTAATAGATAAACATGTTCAATAAGTTCACTGCAAATCTCGATTTTTGGAAGTGTGTGTTTTTGAACACAAAGTGTTCGAATATGTCATCACCCATTTGATAAATATTGTAGAAACTTTTAACACATTTGAAACGTGTAACACTTTTTATATTATTCGATTAGCATTGTAAAAAATTGTATTTTGTACAATGCTAATCGAATAATATAAAAAGTGTGCATATTAAATAAAAAGCGTAAAATAAGATCTATGTACTTTTTAGGAGCCCGAGTATCTCTTAGAGAACCGTTTAAAGAAATTGATTGCATAGAATTGATGTAAATAATAGTGATTTGCACAATTTTAATAGTGGAAATAAAAATAAAATCACAATACCTGCTTTCTGGTTACACAAAGTATATAATGCGTTCTTGGATAGCGATTTATTTATTTTATATATTACTTTATATATTTATTTTATAATAAGATTCCAAAAGAAATGTTAGATCTTTCACCTTTTCAATTTAAGTCAAACAAAAATGCTTGGAACTGACCTCTCGTACTACACAGGACTAACTAGAAATTTCTAAACCGATTTGGTATCTACATATACATTTGACATTTTATGTTTGACTTATCGCTTTACATAATTATAGAACTAATGTAAAAATATTTTAAAAAGAGCAACTACTGAGTTTCTTACTTTCTTCCATGATTCTTCTCAGTAGAATCAGAACCCCTGGACATGGAAAAGAAAAAAATGGGGAAAACAGTGATTATATGACTATTCAAAAGTGTATTTTTAATGCATACTTGAATAAAACATATTTGAATTTTGAATTTCAAACAAGTGAAGGCAAATTTAATTTAATTAACGTAGATTAATTCAATCACAAGAAGAACATAATATACACAATTTTATTTACATATTTACATTTCATTTTTACGTAGGCACACTATACCTATCTGGCAACGCATCTACTTTATTAATCTTCTGAAGAATCATTAATTTTATCAAAGGATGCCGAAATTTCCTTTGTCGGTCTTTCGGCGTGTACTTACAAATAGTAGTATTTATTTTAATTCCAGTCATTCCCAATTGAGCTTTGCTTCGAGTCTAATGTATTAATTGTTTTTACTCTAATCCTTGTTGTTCTCGGAGTGATAAGTTTACAATTTGACATGAGTGACGAATGGTCGAATAGTTCTAGTCGGAGTAGTGAGAGTTGGAGTTACAGATCTAAGAGACCTAAAAGTAAATTTGATGAGTTATTCGACATAATTCATGCATCCCAAATTGCTTTGTGTAAATCATGCCAACATAAAAAGGTTGAAATAAAAATGAAAAACAGAAACACTTCAGGCTTAAGGAAGCATCTAATATCTTTCCACAAAAAGGAATCACAAATATTTCTTCCTGAAAAACCAAAATTAAGTGAAGATATCACAAGCTTTTCAATAACCACCGGAAAAAGTGGACTGGTAAGAAAAAATATACTTATCACACAATTACATAACATATATATTATGTAACTAGCGGCCGCCTGCGACTTCGTCCGCGTACAATATCTGATTTCCTATGAGATTTTGAAATTTTCTCGCTGCAAAAGTCTTACCTAGAATAAAGAGGCTATATATGTAAAGCTTAACCATGCAAGTATTTATTATTTAAAACTAATAAAGTAAATGTCGATCTTCATATCGATACTTTAAAAATATAGGACTTGCATGTAACCATTTTACCCCAATTTCACCCCCCTTAGGGTTAGGATTTCGTAAAACAGCTTATTCAGGATTTTATTGTTGAAAACTTATAACTTTAATGCCGATTTTCGTATCTCTAACTTCAAAAACGTAGGACTTTCATACAAACTTCCAACTCCCATTTCACTCCCTTAGGGATAGATTTTCTCAAAACCGTTTCTTAACTGATCTCTATGCCATAAAAGGAACCTACTTTACAAACTTCAAGTTTGTATGTTTTATAGTTCCTGAGATATATATATATATATATAGATTATAGTGTTAAATATGTATTTATAATTCACTCATATTTTCATTTGTTTTTATAATCGGCGAGACACATGATTTACTGTTTTATTTCAGTCTGAAAATAGCAGTGACAACATCACGACAGCTACAGTCGATTGGATGGTTACAAATATCATCCCTTCTCATGTTTCGATGACGAAGCTACACAAGTATATTTTCGATCAATTTGCCCAAATATGGTGTTTCCTAAAAGGTCCACACTTACAAAGAAGGTCAAAGAACGGTTTGTAGAGCTTCAAATGAATCTTAAGAAACGACTACAACAATTTTCATCTAAAATGTCATTTACCACTGATGGATAGACGTCAACTGCTGGTAGGAGTTACTACAGGGTCACTATTCATTATATAGACAACGAATGGAAGTATCGATCTGTAGTCCTTGATTTTATACCATCACGCGGTCGACATACTGGGGAAGATATTGCAACGATTTTCCACGAATGTTTATTGGAATATGACATAATTGATAAAATACAGGGTATCACGGTCGACAAAGCAACTGCAAATACCAAATTTATGTATGAATTGGACAAACAGCTGCCACACTTTGATTCAGACAATCAACATTTCCGGTGCTTTGCTCACATTTTGAACCTTGGTGTACTAGATTTATTAAAGACCTTAGCATTACACAGTGAAAGTGAAACTGACAATAAGGGACAAGAACAGCATTATGAAGATAATGAAGACGAAACTGAGGAAGATGAACGTACATCTATAACAATTTACAAAAAATTACGCAGTATTTCCAGTAAAATAAAAAGAAGTGAGATATTGAAGAGGAAGTTTCAACCTGCTTGTGAAGCAGCTGGCGTGCCATCAAATCTGAACCCCATACTCGAATATCCAACGAGATGGAATTCCACACATGATATGATTGGATTTGGTTTAAAAATGAGAACTGGCATTAACATATTGTGCATTTCTGTCACCGAATTGAATGATTTTCAAATCACAGATAGTGAATGGCAAATACTCGAAAAAAATACATAAGTTTCTAATAAACTTTAAACTTCTATCAACGAAACTTGGTGGAGAAAAATATGTTACATTACGTCATTGTATCATTCAATCTCTTGCTCGATAAAATTGAATCCATGGTAAAACAATTAGATGAGAAACCTAATCGATCCGAAGTGGATGAAAGGCTCATTCTGGGTTTTCAAGCAGCTCGAGACAAAATACTTAAACATTATAAAAAGAGCAACTGGATTTATTGTACCTCTTTAATTTTAGACCCAAGGCATCTAACTCAGACTGTTGACATGACATTGTGGGGGGAGCAAATTAAAACAGAAAGCTTGCGCAAATTTAATGAACTTTATAAAGAATATAAAAGTCTACACTCAGTGAATACATCTCTAGAATCACCAAGAAATGAAAAGAAAGTATGTAAATATGATGAAGATGAAGACGTAATAGACTTTGAGAAATTGTATGCATGTCCCTCGACGTCATCTGGATCTGGATCTTTTCATCAAGTCTTAGTTATAGACGAGTTGGAGGAGTACCTAAGTAAACCCAGAGCCGCCAGTTCGGAAGACATTTTAGAGTGGTAGAGAACGCATGAGTCAGAATATCCGACTTTATCGAAGATGGCACGTGATTTTTTTTCAATACCTGCAACTTCAGTACCTGCTGAGAGATTATTTTCTAAAGCATCATTAGTAATTAGAAAACATAGAAATAGGTTAAGTGATGAGTCAGCCAGATGGTTACTTTGTATTAATTCTTGGTCAAAAGAATTAATATAAAGTAACAGTAATGTCGAAGCTGTTGTGTACTGTTATGTTATTTAATTTTTATTGTATTTAATTTTTTTTATTTAAATAAATGGTAAATTGTATAACTCTTTTATTCCATTTCATATAAGGATCTATCAATCTCTTTCTAGACAGATAATGTTCTTTATAATACATTCAAGTTAATGTCATTAATTTGTTTTTTATATGTTTTGACTAAGTTTTAGCACATGTAAGCTTATTAAATCTAAATGTTTATTAAGAAACAGACTAACTCCCGTGGCCGTGAGACTTGGTAGACAGCTCAGTTGGTTAGAGCATCGGCACGGATCGCTTAGGTCGTGGGTTCAAACCCCACCCGGTATTAGTTGATTTTTCGAATTTTTCATTAAATGTTTAGACATTTATTAATTTGGTTGGTCTTTCTATGGCTATGTTAATTCAAGCTCAAAATGTGCCTATTCTGTTAAGTTGTTCTAAGATCTAAAGTAACGTTTAATAAATAACAATAGGCTAATAGGTAATTGCAACTTGCGAGACTCTTGCTGCAAGACGCCCAAGACTGAGAGCGCAATACCAAGACCAAGAACAAGACCAGGTGTATTGGCGCAAGACCAAGACCAAGACTGGCTAAGTCTCGTCTTGTTCTTGCATTTGGGCAACACTAGTAAGCGAACGTAAACGTTTTATACACAACGTCCTTTACATTGGTAAACTTTGTCAACTTTGTCGTCGCAAATATCTAGAAAGGAAACAAAGATGATTTGGATGCAACCGAAACCATTACTTTGACGTTTAATTTTAAAATGAATAGCATGTTAGATTTTAAACTAAATTTTTATCCGATTGCAATTTAGCTTATCGGCAATCCATTTACTATGATTGTTAAAGGTATATAATTGTAAAAACTCATTAGGACTTTGTGCGAATGACGAATTATTTCATCACAGTATAAATTACTAATGTGGGTTTATCGGAATGCAGTAACCGGGTTCATTAATGCGAGCGTGTTTCTCTGTGTGGTTACACAAAATTGTCACCTGTCTGAACCTATGAAAGTTCATATTATACTGCATTAAAGTGTACGTCAAAACGTTAATGAATGTTTCAAATAACAATTCTAAAGGTAATTTATTCAATTATTCGCATAGCATGTAATTATTAACTGATCGTTTTGAATGTAGCTCGTTATTATGAAACAAAATTAGTAGTATGGTGTATATCCAATTTTTGCCAATTAATGTTTACGAGTACAATATTTTTAACTGTTATAAATTTTTTCTCAGGATGTGAAATATTTTTTTTATTCAAGCTACTGTTTGGGTAGTAGACCCACTGTGTTTGTTGTTGTAGATAATAACGCGCATCGTTTTAGTTTATTTTATTAAATTTTACTCGTACGTATAATTTTGTAATAGTATTTGAAGCCAAAATAGTACGTGTTCTTCCTTTGAGATCACAGTCTTAATCAAATTTCGAGTGACGACCACAGCAATCTCTAAAATTACCCAACTAATTCTCTTTTCCTTGAACGCATTTAGATGCACGACGTGTTATTAAGTCAACAATGCTCGTCTTACAACAATCCATTTAATTAATTATAATGTCGTCTCTCTTAACTATAAATAGCCAGATTGAAATTAAATTGCTTCTCTAGATGTTGTTCAAAAACATATACTATAAATTAACCGAAACAGAAATCGTAAAAAATTTAATATGTTACTTCAAAGTTTTTACATTTTAATATGGAATACATTTTGCTTTTCTTTTTCTTTTTTAGTGGAATATGGATAACATCTTGATCCGAACTTTCTTTTGGTTCAGTCACGTTAAATACATTACCTCTTCGATAGCTGGTGTCACATACATGGACCATTTCGACTTTGAAGATAGATATAGAAACGTGAATGAATGTAATCCCTTATATTATCATCCGTTACACATGCCCGAAGAGTGTATGGAAATGTATGAGCAACTGATACGTTCTAATATAGCTTCTTTCTTTGGTCCAATGCAAGTATTTAAGGAACGAAACCTGGACGAAATAAATGGCGAATTATATAGCTTGTCTCATTCACATAATATACAAAAAACAGATTTGAATTTGTACATTAGCTCTATGCGACAAAGGCTGTCACCCTTAGAAAGAATGATTGAAATGATTAGATACGATGCCATGAGAATACCCACTGCACCAGAAATAAGAATGGCTCCTCAATTTGGCCCAGTCGCTATGTATCGTCAACCAATTTCAAGTAAAAGTGAGAAAATGATAAAAAAGATATCAGGCGCATATGGCAAAAAGCTAATTCAGCAAAGATAAGATAAATACCAAGAAAATAAAAAATCACTCAATATTTATTGTATATTTTTTATACATAAGTAAGTGATGATGCATATCAATCTGACGGGAATACCACAGAAAAAAACCCTAAGTAATTAAAAAATACTAAGTACTAATGGACGCCACACACGGTCAGTTCAACTGATCATTTCAACTGATCAGTTCAAACTAAAACTGTTGATATTTTTTAAAATATTGAATTTTCGATATATCAATAATTATAAATATATCAAAATCAGAGTTTTTTATATAAGTTTATTTATCGATATATCGAAAATCCAATATTTTAAAAACATCAACAGTTTTAGTTTGAACTGACCAGTTGGAATAATCAGTTGAACTGACCGTGTGTGGCGACCATTATACGTATTTATTGAATTACCCATGAGTTATTAAATGTTACTATATTTGTTACATAATGTTCAATAAAAGTAAATTTATCTAGTTTATATGTATTATTTTCATAAAATCCAATATTATATTAATCAACCGTCGAAATTTTATGATAAAATTCTGATATTTATTGCCATATTAATTGTTTGAAATCATCAATTGATATACAATACCTTACACCTTTTAATGCCTCTTTTCCGCAGCATTACAATGATGTTTTTAAAAGTATAAGAAATAGAAACGGCATTGTTTGAAAAGTAGGTATTTAGCAAGGGTCTTCAACGTACTTCAATTCATTCTTTACAAGTGTCACCTTCTGACGCAATTTTCCAATATATGTAGTATTGGAAAACAGTACAAAAATGAACACTATTTTAAAGGTATCTAACTCTTATATTCTTTTATAATACCTTTTATTCCAACACATTCTGTCTTTTATTTTATTTATACTTATAATACTTGCTTACAAACCTTATCTATCTTTTTCTTTACACTTCGCTGAACTCATGCTTGGTCAATGCCTCTTCATCATTATCATCACGTCAGCCCGTCAAAATCCACTAGTGAACCCCATTTCATTAGTAGTCAAGAAAATTTGCTAAAATCTGCTGTGTTTCTTACTGGTACTCAAGGCATTCCATTCTAGTCCTCAGATGGGACAACACATCTGCATTTTAATATTTATGGTCCTTATTCTAAAACAAACTACGAGATACTACATTCGGTGAGTTTCGGTTCGTCTATGTTTTCTTTTATGTACATTCACTTATTTCTCGGAGACGAACCCAACCACTTTAGGGACCACTATATAATTTTGGAGAAAAATTTACCCCAAAGATAGGAAAAATTGGAAAAAGTGTTTAATGGAAATATTTAAAAGACATTATAGTTGTATCCTTGAACTTGTGTTGTGATATTTCTTACTATACTCAAAGGGGTAAAGTTTCTTACATAAAAATAAAAAACCTTTAGAAAATCTAAAAACAATAAAACATTATCCTCTTTCTGGAGCAGTAGAACGAAAATAATTTCCATATACATAATAGCTTCTAAAGACGTGGCTTATATTTTCTCACTGATTTCAAATGCATGGCATTTATAACATGGAATTTATTATTACATTTTTATATTTATGGTAAATTTAATTATATCTCATAAAAATAACATTTAAATAAAAATTAATTATAACAACAATTTTCCATTTTATTTTCAGATAATATATTTCTTCTTTGCTATAAATACAGTACGAGGTACTATAGACGGATTATCGTATTTGGATGAAATGAATACCAGAAAATTGCATAGTACATTGCCTAAAGGGGAGGACCCATGTAATCCCCTATACTGGTACCCAAGAAACATACCAAAATATTGTGATTTTCAAAAGATTCCAAAACCGGTCAAGCCTGAAAATAGGCCTTTACCAATGCCTATTCCTGTTCCATTACCACTGCCACCTCCTAATGCTATTGTACCACTCCCTCCTCCATCTTTAATTCCCCCTCCCTTACCTTTTGGAGTGCCTCTTGCACCTCCGAGTCCAATGATGCCTGTAGTGGGAATTCCATACCCTGCTCCTCCAAATCCCGGCTTTTCCGCTATGTTCCATAATCCTATAATCCCTTCAGTTTATGGTAACCAAAAAGCGGCAATGGTTCCAGGTTTACCAGGAATAGTGACACACGATGGAGGGATCAATATTTTGCCATTTTCCGATGCGTATTCTGACTTATTAGAAAAGCAGAAGCAAAAAATGTTACGTAGAAAACTTCAGAGAATTCTAAAAGATTATGAAGATTTTCCAAAACCAAGACATTTTTGGCGTCGGAAGCGATTAAGAGAAGTGTTGTCTGAATAGTATTTAAAGAAATCCGATTATTTATTTTATTTACTTAAGTACTATCAACTGAAATTGCAATAATTTTATTTATATACCAGTTTTGTTACTTTTCATTGCATTTGTAATGACAGATTACTACAACATGACCAATTTTACAGCCACGCTGCAGATAGCACGTATGGGTCAGCTCGACCGACCTCGCTCTCACAGAATACCAGCGTAAAATAGCAGCTTAAGGCTGTTGTGCTTCGTATAGTGTGTATAGAGAACTGGAGACCCTTTTTACAGGAAACGAGGCATCTTAGTCCTCAGGGGGAATAAAGGTAAATGTCTATGGGCCACAGTATCCACTTACCATCAGGTAGACTGTGTGCTCGTTTATCGACATATCGATAATTTTTTGCACAATAATAAAAGTTTTAATATCTATTGCTAACATATTTAATTCATATTCTTTATATTTAAAAATTCTATATTTTAAGTGAGCACATTTTGTATAAATGTTTATAATATACTATTTTATGATAATGACTAATAATTTGAATAAAATCTTGTTTGAGTTGAGGTGATCGCGATTGTATAAAATTATGGGTAATTTTATACTATCGCGGTCACCTCGTTTTTTGGCTCTGGAAAATCAAAGAATCATCCGATTTCGATGATTTTTTTAAATCTTCATTATTATAGCGGATTTACGAAAAAAATTACAAGAATTATAAAAATGAAAACTTATATTGGTTTCAAGGCTTTTTTTCAAGGATGTTCATGAAAATGCACTCATTCACGTATAATTTTTGATAACTTTTTAAAATATAATCAAATGAAGTTACGTTAAAAACGAACATTTAAAAAAAATTAAAAAATGTTCGTTTATTAATTTCTTATTTTGGTTTTTATTGAGTATAAGATAGAGCGATACGAGCTCTTACTTAGGACATCCCGACTCGGAAAAAAATTCAAAAAAACGTTTTTTTTATTAATTTATTATTTTGGTTTTTATTGAGTGTAAGAACGACGATGCGAGCTTGCGACTTAGGGCATCCCGACTCGGACAGATTAGGTTAAAAAAAGATAGCTTATGGATGCCACCATCTCCTTCGTTGTTATTTTCTTATAAATCACTCCGAAGTAGGACCGTCGACCGGGTTTTCCTCGACTGTACTACGTTGAGTGGCGTGGTGCTTCCCTCCCTCAACTCTCTCCCGAGACCTGTCCGAGTCGGGATGCCCTAAGTCCCGAGCTCTCTTCGTTCGATCTTACACTCAATAAAACACCAAAATATTAACTTTTATCGAGCGTTTATGATAACATTTAAAGTCAGAAAACCATATAAAAACTTTAAGTGAGATAAAAAATTAATAAACATTTTTAATGTTTCTTTTTTTAAATGTTCATTGTTTTGTGTAGACTAACAAAAATATATATATATAAACTTCATTTAATGCTTTGCAAAAAAGTTATGGACGATTATATTCGAAGAAGTACGTTTATGATCACATTTAAAGTCATAAAACTATATGAAATCTTGAGGTGAGATATTTTCCATATTTTTCCATAAATCAGCCATTAAGACGAAGATTTTAAAAAAATCATCGAAATCGAATGATTTTTCGATTTTCTAGAGCCAATAAACGAGGTTTGTCGGTCACTCTGGTTTTACTGCGGATATACTCATTTCTGAGACTATCACGCAGAGAAACTCCGAGCATAGCCCTCTCCATAGCTCGAGTGGCAGCCTCGTACCGGTAGGCGTAGTGTAGGGCGACCCCCCACTAGATGGAGTGACGACCTGCTAAGATATGCGGGGGGTCGATGGATGCAGGTGGCTCAGGACCGTGCTTTGTGGCATTACTTGGGGGAGGCCTATGTTCAGCAGTGGACTTGTAATGATGATGATGATGAATAAACGAGGTGCCCGTGTCAAGGATTTCTGAAGCGAATTTACGATCAAAAGCCCAGATTAAGGTTCTAGAATGTTTTAAGCCTGGTATTTCAGACCTGATCTTAGGTGATTTATTGTGATAAAGAGTTTCAAGGGTCAATTGGGCCAAGCTTTTTGAGATTCCACAAAATGGCTCGGGTCCAAATTGTGTACTCTTTAAGCCCCGCCCCCGTGCGAGCTTTTTGGCAAGTTCATTGCCTAGAATACCCGCGTGACCCGGAACCCATCTTAGGACGACCCAACTAGCTTCGAGATCACTAAGTTTGACTATCAGAATTTATATAAATTGACGTCTATATAAGTTGACGTCGTATTTTCGCAGATTATATTTCCGTATACTGAAGTATCGCTAAAATTTTTGCCTGGAAGATAGGGCTGAATCTACCTAAATTTTTACTAAGCTTGAATTTGGGGCGTTCGCAATAAATTTCAAAGCCTACGTCGAAGCCCATTTTGACCCATTGGTATACACTATGAAGCTACCGACCTTACATGACCTGGCCATTCAGCCAGTCTTCTCTGGACGGTAATTCCACTATATACTTTTTATCTAAAGTCCATTACGAATGGATCAGCTCGACCGGGGTAGGACCACGTTCTCACAGAATACCAATGTAAAATAGCAACTTAATGCTGCTTTGTTTCGTATGTTAAGTGTACAGAACCGGAGACCCTTTTAACTGGAAATAAGGCATTCCATCTCAGTCCTCAGGGGTGATAACGCAGATGTGGATGTCTATGGACCACCCACGTGTCTCGAAACGCACGTTAAGCCGTTAGTCCTGTGCCTGATCTCACTCCGGTCGTGTCGAATTACATAGGACTTGAGAATGAGGGAATTAATAGCATCTGTGCTTACGCATACACTTCAGCACTATGATCCTGTCCTGCGCAGATGGCCGGTCTCCGTTGATACACCGAATAGAAAAACGCAATATTTAATTATTATGTTTCCAATTATAATGATAGGAGATTAGTACTTAAAAGAAAAAATATGTTAAAAAACGAACGTAAAGTTTGTAAGAATGTATCATTCATAAATAATGGTCGCAATGACAAAATTGCTATAATCACAAGCGTATTCATTTCTATTTATTGATTTATTTACAGATTATTAAATTAAATAAAAAGTCACACTTTCGCATTTTTGATAGAATCTATTTATTAAAATGAACACACTATTTAAATAATAAAAGTCAAGATTTTCAAAGCCATTAAAATGCATTGAATCGCTAATACACAAACAGGCAAAAATTCAAAGATCAATTATTTGGCTTTAACATTCTTTATTTGAAATCCTAAGATTTATTTTTCCAGAGAGTATTAGAATTACAGGCTTTCCCTCAGGTTTATTATATGGATAGATTTATTAAATAATAGATAAATAAATTATTATTGAATCATTCTTAAAGATAATATTAATTACTTTTGCTTACTATTAGTTAAAAGGCGATGAATTCGGCTTTCGCCAATCTGTTTTGAAATAACTGACTCACATCCCTCAAGGAAAGATGCGAGGAATCCTGCAACACTTCCATGACGTGAAAAGAAATGTATGGTTATATAATACATCAACGTCAGCTTAAACTGCGCGACTAAAACAAATAGTTATTTTGTATTGTTAGTTCTGAAAGACTCCGTCTGCTTTGAAAATAGCTATTATATATTTTGTCTAGCGAAAATTTGTTTAAGTAAAGGGTTTCGTTAAGTATTCTAATCATTGTAGAGTAGCTTCTAACAATATCTTTGTTATTATCACAGAGTAATCCGCCACGCAAATTGATTAAAGTGGTTAATTAAGTTATATTTTAATCAATTTGCCAACGTCGTTATTAACACAATTAAACTACAATTATTTAAAATGTCACGTAAGCACAAGGGTCAAAAAGCTGTTTCGTTTTAAAATTTTTATTATAAATCTCTATCGAGAGAAGAATGCTGTCTCCAAACTAAAAAACGAAACACGAGTCTTTGAGTGTATGCTACTGATTTTCAAACCTTTGTATTCTGTAACTTTTTGTTTAATTAAGGCAAAGTCAAGTAATTTTGGCTCAAGCCTGAAAAACTGAATGGGTAAATTCCCTTCCCTACATTTGAGAAGTCGCACCTAAATTACTTTGTAACTTACTTTAGAGCAACATGTGGGATAAAATAAAACTATAAATAGGTATGTAATTTTATTTTCTAGGATACAGACTGTTTTATTAACTGTACATCGTTGTTGATGTTTTATTGCTTCTGAACATAATATGGAAATATGACGCATGTTATCGATAATATATACTATTGTCAGAGATTTATTCTCCACAGAACATTTATAATCAGCCTGCGGCAGTCCACTGCTGGGCGTAGGCCTCTCCCAATGCGCGCCACTTAGCACGATCTTCGGCTTCACGCATCCAGTTTCTACCAGCAGCCTTGCGCATATCGTCGCTCCATCTGGTCAGGGGGCGTCCCACACTACGTTTGCCTAGACGCGGTCACCACTCCATAGCACGTCTACTCCACCGGTTGTAACTTTTGCGAAAGACATGACCTGACCATTGCCACTTCAGTTTACAAACTCGGAAGACTATATCAGTAATCTTGGTTCTCCGGCGGATTTCTTCATATCGAATTGTATCTACTATATATATATATATATATATATATATATATATTATATCTGTACGTGGTAGGTATATTCCAGAACAACTTCGAGAATTTCACCATCAACAGTAATTGGAACTGGAATGACGTGATCGATGAACCCAACTTTTGTCTTGTTCAGATTCATGCACAGACCAAGAGATCGGGAGGATTCATTCAGTAAGTTCAGCATATCCTGAAGTTCTTGCAGTGATTCTGCCAAAGAGTCAGTAATTCACTCATGGGGCAATGTATACGCTTTTACAAGTTCCAGAAAATATGCAGACTTTATCTATTAAAAGGTTTAAAATATTTATTAAGCAAAAATTGTTTAGTAAGGGTTTACATAATGATTTCTTATATTTCCGCGAATACTGCACATTGATTAAAATTACTTTTACGGATTTTATCGCGTTTAATTTATGTGATTTTTTAATAAGGGATGTTA